GCCAAAGGAATCACTCGCATTACCACCAGGGCTACATCTATTTGTCATTACAGGCTACCAGGTGGACCGCAAGCGTGGCAAATTTCGACTTGAAGCAAGCCATGAATGTGAAATAAATCGCCGCCCAGCCAGGTCATAAAGCCTATTATTTGATAACGAATGAATAGCTGAGCACGGCTCGGCGTGTATGGCAGCGATGAGACGGAAAATTGTTCCGTTTTCGACCGGCACTCGTCCGGATAGCTGGGTTTTTAGTGCCCGTGATAAACGGTGGGGGAGCGGCGCAGTCGGGTTGAGCGTTGGTCCGGTAGCGCTGGCCCTTTGTCGGGCCACGTCGGTTTGCGAGAGGCCGCGCCGGTTAGAGGGAGGCCGCACCGTTAGAGGGAGGCCGCGTCGGTTAGAGGGAAGCTGCGTCGGTTAGAGGGAGGCCGCGTCAGTTAGAGGGGGGCCGTACCGGTTAGAGGGAGCCCACGCCGGTTAGAGGGAGGCCATGCCGGTTAGAGGGAGCCCACGCCGGTTAGAGGGAAGCCGCGCCGGTTGAAGGGAGGCCGCGCGGTTAGAGGGAGGCCGTGCCGGTTAGAGGGAGCGCGCAAATCGAGGGAGGCCAGCCGGTTGGAGGGAGGCCGCGCCGGTTGGAGGGAGGCCGCGCCGGTTGGAGGGAGGCCGTACCGGTTACAGGGAGGCCGCGCCGCCGGGACGGCTCAGATGACGTCTGGCGGACGGCGCTCTGGACGGCGCGCAGGCCGGATGCACACACAACAGTGACGGCGCCGAGCCGGCTGCAGGGTGGGCAGCGCTGTTCTGGGAACGGGTCTGGCGGTATTGTGCGTGGGTGCAGGAACAAGGGGGAAGGCGGGGGTGTCATGCCCCCCCCCCCGTTTTCAAGATGGGGGCAGAAATGTTGGCTGGCCCTCGCTTTGTCAGACTTAAGTCGCGTTTAGCTTACTTTTGTACTACCATAAACATGCATGCTGATTTACCTAGTTCACCAGCCATCTCCCTGAAGATGCGTCACGTTTTTCGTTTGCCCATTGGCCGTCGCTTAATATCACAGCCGCGCGGCCTATGGAAACTGCAACGCTGGGAGTCGACGCGGTTTTTGCTAAGATTTGCAGGCGCGCATGTTCAAAACCAGATAACGTAATTTTTCTCAGTCATTCAAGTTGACTGAATTTGGGATATTTTAAGATGAACATGGGTTGGATATGTCAATACAAATTTGGGACTTTATTTCGATCCACGATCTACTTTTAGGGGTCCTCAAAATTTCAAAAAAGCGTAGAAAAGGCTGGAACTGGAGTCTTTTTTACAATATTATACCATTGGCGTCGATCAGGGATGTGTTCCTTCAATGAGGGTTCCTGTGCTGGTCCGGTGCCAACCGCGCGGGCCAGAAGGCCTCCCGAATCAGGGAGGGGGAGCAATGCGATATGATATATCCTTATAATGGCCTCCGGATGAACCAGGAGATCATGTTCCGTGTCGCCAGAATGATAGCTAGAAGATACTTCGCGATGGGCGGAATGGCCCTTCAGCCCTTGGCCGGAAACGCTAATGTGTCCCGGGTGTTCAACTCAGGAATCTTGCTTGGATGGAAATAACTCTTGCTTGGATGCTTGCTTGGAAACAACTCTTGCTTGGACGGAAATAAGGGTCACATTGTTGAGTAAAGTGGGGGTCTCATTATTGTTGAATAGAATTGGTCAAAATGGGCTTTAAGAAACGAGCAAGGCCACCCCATGTATGCCTGAGAATGTTCATTTTTCAGAATGGATTAGTAAAACAAATTACAATCAAAAGGTGTTTGAACGCGCCCGCCCGCAACCTCAAAAGCAGATGGTCTGGGCTGCTCCGTAAAACCGAACGGCTTCGGCCACTGCAAGTGCGACCAAACGGCGGGCGCCGTGTTAATCTGTCTTCTGGGCAGACTAATAGCTAGAGGAACACGAAAAATGATTTTTTTATATTTTACTCTTCCAGTTCAACCGCAGATTTCAGCCCCAATTCGCGGTGCTTTAAAGGTGAATCCGTTCCTATCATCAGTCTTAAAATCGTGCACATGCTATGTGCGCCCAGACTGCCTTCTAAATGTAAGATGTGATGTCATGAAGTGTTCAAAGATACTTTTTTCAGAATCGCCATCATATTTGTCCACCCGTTGGCCATGGCTCGGTATTAGCTGCTGGGCAGACGCTGCGCGGCTTACGGAGAACGCAAGTCGAGGTTTTTTCTAAGATTTTAGAGTGCGCATGTTCAAAGTTATGTCACATAGCTTGTATTACTTATCGATTAAAGTGTTTAAAAGTAGGTAATTATTTCAGAAGCGTCATCATTTTTGTCCACCGTTGGGCTAAGGCTAAAGCTAACCGCTGGGATAACGCTCCGCAAATAATGGAGACTGCAACGCCTAGTGTCGATGTTTTGTTGCTGAGACTTCCGAGCGCTCATGGTAAAAACGACCTAATGTAATTGCATCACTAATCGATTCTGAATGAATGGTGAACATCTCCAGACGAAACTGGCTCGACGATGTTTGTTGATCACTCGATGACACACATTGTTGACCACTCGATCTCCAATCAAACTTTCATCTTCAAATTTGAATCAAACATGTCGATCCCAAGCTGCCTTCACGATGTTGTTAAGGTCTGTAGAACACAGATAAAAAATTTTGACGAAGGTTTTGGATTTTATCGGTTTAGAAAGAGTCCACCAAAAGTTGTGGATCAAGGGTGCCGGCGATTTATTCCAAGCGGTCGTTCAGCGCCTGATTTCTGCACTTGATTGACTTTAAAATAAAACAGAGTTGATCCCATGGTAACCTCTGGTTTGTATTCTGATTACAAGGAAAAATAACAAAGAACAAAATAACTGTGTTCCTTGTTACAAGTAAACTATACCCGGATTTTTTTTTTGGGGGGGGGGGGTCTCACCATAACAGGGACTTTTGTCCACCCTGTGTTCCCCTTGGCAAGGCTCTGGCTACGCCCCTGCCTACACGCAAAAACAGATTAAGTCGTCTGCGTTGAATGGGGGCAGTGGAATGCCCGTTGGGCCAATTCAGATCTGAGGAAGGCAGCTTTCCGGGGCAGCAGGGGCACCCTGAGCTTCGCCCCC